AGATGTAGAGGATTGGCACGGGATTTTCTCCGGGATGTATAAAGCCTGAGGAGGTTGATGAGATTTTTAAGATGTGTATTTTTGTGGTTTGAGATTTATAGGATGAAGATTTCCTATGGTGTGACTGATGCGTCATGTGTGATGTGTTATGGATTGAAATAGAAAGTTCTATGTGAGTTAGAACTTGTCTATTTCTAAGCGTCGGGAAATAAATGTTTTATGTGAGTTAGAACCTATCTATTTCTGAGATGGAAATAGAAAGTTTATGTGAGCTAGAACTTGTCTATTTATGAGCGTCAGGAAATAGAGGTTTTATGTGAGTTAGAACCTGTCTATTTCTGAGATGGAAATGGGAAGTTTATGTGAAGACTTGCCTATTTCTGGGAGTCTGGGAATAGAAGTTATATGTGAGTTAGAACTGTCTATTTCTCCCTAGAGACTCTGGTGGAAACACCCTGTGTGATTGGGTTGTTTCCGATGACCTACTGATTGGTCATGATTAAGATGATATTTCGGGTTAGGGAATGTCATGATGGAACCACGGGAGGTAAGTCTGGTCGATAGGTGCTTATGATGCACGTTGCAGAATTGATTGCTCGAGGGAATGGTCAGGTTCCCTGCATATACTTGAGGGATAGAGATTTCTCTCCAGGGGATAGTGAGTTTCCCTGCATGTACTTTGAGAGATAGAGATTTCTCTGTAGGGGATAGTGAATTTCCCTGCATGTCGATAGCTTGACGGACTGTGTGTTCCGAGAGTGGGAGGGGCATGGAGCATACGAATAGCCTGACGGACGGCGATCCGGAAGGTGGGAGGGGTATGATATACACCGAGCTCAAAGGGTGACGACTTTGAGAGTATGAGGGGTGTATATATATATGAGTGATGAGCAATTAATGTCTGAAACGTGATTTGTAAGTATGAGCCTCATGGATCAGGAGTGTAGATCTCGGGTGGTGCTGGCCGGGTTGGTCAGGTAGTGTTGACCATTAGGGAAAGTGTTGGGTGGTTCGAGTGTTGATCTGGAGTGGAGTTGGCCGGGTGGGCCAGGTAGTTGAGAC